GCAGGGGGAGCAGCACACAGAGGCAGAGGGAGAAGCAGGCTCCCCGCTGAGCAAGGAGCCCGATGTAGGGCTCAATCCCAGGACCCCAAGACCATGACCTGTGGGGAAGGCAGATGCCCAACTGACTGAGCCCCCCAGGCTCCTCAGCAAGTCTTTTGGACAGGATTGCTGCAGAGATTTGGGCTGTTTTGTAAACTACTGTGAAGGATTGAATGAAGGTCAGCTCTTGGTTTTGAAAGTAACAAATTTGGGGTACAAATATGTGAAGTCAAGACTGATTTTATCCCTCTTCACTGTAGCTTTTCTCTCCAGCAATGCCTAACAATGCCAGATAGCTTGATCAGAGAGCTGAAATTGAGCTGTTTTATCATTTTAATGAATTGTTCTGCTTCTTTGGCTATGGATGGTTCCTCTATAGGAATTTGATCTGTTTTGTGGCCTCTACTGGTCTGTTTCGAGAACACCAGTTTCAACAGGACACCAGTTTCAAACAGGAATGGCACAAATGCCCCACCTAGCTGTATCACTTATATACTAATTCATACAGACTATCCTGCATCATTCTTCTGCTTCTCCTAAAAATGATCTATGTTCTCATTTGTAGGCCAAGGCTTTCCCTAAAGCTAGAATATTTATTTTTAGTTTGTGGTTAAATTTTTGTTTCACTACCCAAGCTCTAAGGTTTAAATGAGGAAGAATTTACTACCACGGCAAAATGGAATGGAAAAAAGGTGCCCTATGTGATATCAGCATCTTTTTTTTTATCTGAGTTGTTACCTCTTTATTTCTCCTTCTTGCTTTGTTTAATGACCTTGTATTTACCTTTGACCTTAAACGTCCATCTATTTCCACTTCCTCCTCTTTTTCTTCACCTTTCCTTTTTACTTCCAGGTCTCCTCTGTGTTATTCCTTAAGAACAGAGGCCTAATCAACAAATTGTACCTAAGTATAGCATTTGCATTCTCAAATTCAGAGTTTTAAAAGTTCTACATGAATTAAAATTTTCAATTGGATTAATGTAAATTATAAGGAAATTTGCTTTTTAATTTGCTATTTGTTTTTTTAAAATGTGATTGTATTTATATTATTGTACTATTTTGTACTGTATGGGCTCTTTGGGGGTATGAGTACTAACCAGTCTCTCTCATGGAATCTGTGTTTTCATATATTTGTATAAGATGAGGTAAACATTCCTCTTTTTAATTGCTACAGATTCCTGTTGGGGTTTTTTTTTCCTAAAATCTGGTTAAAAAAAAAAAAAGATTTTATTTATTTATTTGACAGAGACACCAAGAGAGGGAACACAAGCAGAGGGAGTGGGAGAGGGAGAAGCAGGCTTCCCGCCGATCCCGGAGCCCCATGTGGGGCTCCGTCCAAGGACCCTGGGATCATGACCTGAGCCACTGAAGGCAGAGGCTTAACGACTGAGCCACCCAGGGGCCCTCTGACTGATTTTTTAATTTGTCTTTCCCTACACATCTTTCAAACTTCGGACTTACACTCACTTCCTCTGTAAATTCACCCCTGCACTCTACCACCTTAAACCTGATTGTTATTTTCCCTTTTTAAAAAGGGTGTGTATTGTGCACATATATAGATCAACTTGTGTGCATCCTTTTTGAAATCTTCCTGAAGCATACAGTTTCTTCATTGTTTCTGCTTTTAAATTGCTGTGGCACTTTTCCCCAGATTTGTGCATACTAATCTCTTGTTGTTGTTGTGTAACTAGTCACAAAGAGATGCCTGCCTCTCTAGATTTGGATTATAATTAAATGTAAATTAGTAATGTCAACCTCAGGGCTAAATCTACAGGTTAACTCTTTTTCTCTAAGAAGTTTAACACATAGTATCTTCTGACCTATTAATTTTCACCACCCTACCCTATTCCCCCCCACCCCCCCACCTTGTTTTAGTGGTAAAGAATAGTTGATACAGTATATACTTTGGTGTCAGATAAGCCTCTGTTCAAATCTCAAATCTTGCCCTTCCCCGATGTGACCTTGGACAAAATATTCTCTTAAACCTCAACTTTCTCATCTTAAAAAGGAAACCATACTTAATTTATATGTTTGGGAGATTAAAAAAGGATATTGAGTATAAAGCACAGTTTTGTGTTTAGTACGCTTATCCAATTGCTCAATAAACTTAGGATACTATGGATTACAAACCACCTCTACGTGCAGAGATGTAACTGCAAGACAGATTTATAAACCGCCCAGGACATGAAATCTGACCTTTGGTTTTCATCTGTAGCTGCTGTTTTTGCTTGTGTCTTTTCTTCCTGTTCTGCTTTGACATTTTTGTCCCTAAAACAAACCACCCATTTGTGATTTGTGCATTCTGAGCTGGTTCATACGTATGTTGCAGTGTGGTTTGGAACAAAGCAGTAACATTTCGAATTAGAAACCAAAGGCTATTAGTGTTTCTTTTCACTTTATTTTTGTAGTTTCTGTTCTGCATTTGAGCTTCCTGGTCATTTGCCCTCTATAGGTTCTGCTTAGGCAGGAGGCAGAATTGCAATTATGAGCAAACTGGCACCACTGTAAAAACATATTTGGTGATTCTACCAAGACAATGAAATGTGGTGAATAAGTGACTCTATGATATGTAGTTGTGATGTTTGCTACAGGTGCAGATGATCTTCTGACTGATATAGAGCTTATTGCCAAATTGGATTCTGCTGTGTTTTCAAAGGGTATGCCAACTTTGGTTTGGCTAGGCTATCTTCTAATTTGGTGTCATTAACCTTCAAATCGTGGGCATCGAGGCTGATGGTACTCTGATGAATTTCCAGGACTCAAACTGTGGATGCATAGGCATATGAGACACTTTTTAAGCCTGTCCAACATGGCCTTTTGGCTATTATTTTGTAACTCTGCTCACAGAGTGCTCTGGGGCTTTCTCTTTTATCTGTGTATTCAGAAAAGACAATGGTGAACATTTATATGGCACCAGCTATATTGTAAAGATTTTATACTATATTAACTATTTAATCTTCATGAAACCGTATGAGATACATAGTTGACACTCCCCACTTTGCAGATAAGGAAGCTAAGGCACAGGGAAGTTACATGCCTTACCAAGGGTCATACTACTGCTGAGTGATGGACTGGGTTTGTATTCAGGCTGTCTGGCTCTGGATCACATGTTATATCATCGATAAATTTCAGCAGATAGGGAGATGGTCAGTGCATGGTATGCTAAGGACTGCTTTTTTGTGATTTGCTTTTTCATCTTGCACTGTTGTTTCCTGGCCTCATAGAGCCTCTGATGTCACCTAGGTGAGAGGATTGGAATCTTTGGTATTTTGTCCAAGCTAGCCAAGTTCTCAGTTCTAAAACTGAGATGGCTTGGTAGCCAGCAGATCTGGCTCTATAGTTCTTGGTTGCAGTGAAAAATGCACTTGGCTATGGAACCAGCCTAACCTGAGTTTAAGTCCTGCCATCCATCCAATAAATATCCAGTGAATACCTAGTGAGTTCCTAAATATCAAATACCAGGCTTTGTAGGGGGTGCTCATGATACAGTAAACAAAGCAATTCCTTGCTCTCATGGAATTTAGTCAAGTGAGAGAAGACTGAAAAATATACATCAGGTGGTAAATGCTAAGAAGAAATAGAAGCCAGCGGGATAGAGACTAAGGGGAAGCACCATTATAGAAAAATGGTTAAGGAAAGTCTGATATGGGGACATTTGAGCAAATAATTAAGGAGTAGCTATGTGGCCTGCTAGGGAAAGTGTTTTAGGGAAAAGGCCCTGAGGGGAGAGCATGATCGTTGAAGGAACTGCAGGGAGGTCAATGGGCCGATGTAGTTAAAACAGAGTACAGGAGGGGAAAAGTAGAAGGAAACAAGATGGATGACAGGATAGGGGGTGATGAGGCTGTTAGGGAGAGGGAATGTACCTACCTATATGTGATAGGGCCTTATAAGTCAAAGAAGAGCCGTATGCTCCTATTCTGAGGCCAGAAGCCAAGGATGGGTGTCCTTGGCAAATGACATAGAACTTCTGACTTCCAAGTCTTCGTTTTTCCCATCTTAAAAATGACTTGCAAAGTTGTTAAGATCAGAGATCATGTAAAACTATTTTTGATAGAAAACACATCAACCTAATAAAATCTTTAAAAAAAAAAAAAAGAAAAGAAAACACATCAACCAGTCAATCCGTATCGCGGTAACTCAATACATTGTATTTTCTTTTCTATACCTTAGGCAGGTTGCAGCATGTCATGCTGCTTAAGACTAAGCTCCCACGGGCGAGCATAAGGGGGACCGTGTTCTTTAGGTATGGGAATGTAGTCCTGGCGAAAGGAAAAGGGGAGTTTTAGAGGTAGATTCGTTTAGTCATTGAAGATATGTGGCTGAGGCTGTCCCCCTTCCGGTTCTAAGGGCTGCAGCGGCGCCAACCTCGCTTTCCCAGGTTCCACTGCAGCAGAGACGCCGCCTCCAGAGCCGGTCTGCGGGCGACTTTCGGCTCTGCGCCGGTCTCCGCCTCCAATTCCCGGCATGCCGCGGGGGTGGGGCTGGCACGTAGACTCCATTTCCCAGCCTGCCCCGGGGCTCGGTCCGGACGTGCCGGCGCCTATAAGAGCCAGAGCGCTGCAGCCGGAGCCTATTGTTAGCCGGAGCCGGGGCGGTTCTGGGCCTCTGCTACCGGGGGCGCCCGAGTTGCTGGAGCCGCCCGCCCTCCACCGCCTGCCGGCCGACCTGCCCACCCGCCCTCCCTCCCAGCCCTGCCGCCCTGGGAACTCCCCGACCGTCGCCGCGGGCCCGGGACTCGCTATCTCCTCTCTCCTTCCCACCCGGGCTAGGGCGGCGGCGGCGGCGGCAGCGGGGGCGGCAGAGACCATCACGGGAGGAGGCAGCTGCGGCGGGGCCGGTAATGGGCCTGGGGGTGCGGGGCGGAGGGTGCCGCCTCATCCTTTCTCGGGATCGGCCCTCGGGCGGCTGTGGAGGAGTGGTCAACCCAGAGCTGCGCGAATGGAGGGGTCAGAAATGAGGGAGGCTCGGACGGGAGCGGTCGGGGGGCGGGGAGCCAGGGCGCCGCTGGGAAAGGAAAGAGTCGGGAGAGGCGTGGGAGCTAGGGGCACGGAGGACGCGGGCCCGGACTGCGGGGGCAGCTTGGGGGAGACCGATGGGCGGCTTGGAAGCTGGCAGGATTGCGGATGAGGGTTGAGTTCGGAATGGAGTGGAGATGATGTAGGATGGAGGGAAGTGAAGGAAGGGGAGGGCGGATAGAGGAAAATGTGGGAGGAGTGGTTGGGAATTTGTGAGTAGCAGGCAGGAAGGGATGAGGAAGACTGGGCAGGGGCTGCAGACGATTGGAATGAGCGGGAAGGTTAGCAGGAATCAGAGAAATGGGCCGGGAGCTGAAGGGTTCAGTAGGGGTGTCCATTAAAGGGAACTGATGCCTTGACATGTCCTTTCGGCTCAGGTTCCTGATGTCTCCCATTTTTCTAGCGTTGTGGGGGAAAACGAAAGCATCACTTGCCCTGGCTGCTATCTTGATCATTTTCCACAGGCCCAAACACGCAACTGACTGCCATCCATCCCCTTTAGTGCCATGGTCTTGATTTATCCTTTTAAAGGGGTTAGAGTGGCAGTGTGACACACAAACCGTTCTTCAGTATGAAATGTTAGAAGTTATCCCCAAGAGACACAGTGTCCTCTTGTCCTGCAGTTTTCAGTTTAAGGTAAATTCATAGTTTATTCAGATTTTCATTTCTTTTCTGACGTTACATCTTGCTAATCTCCAAACCCAGGAGGATGTTGGTGTGTGCCAGAGTTATAAATGACTAGATATCCTTGAGAGTTAATGGTTCCCGCAGCATCATGTTCCGGGTCTCCCACAGAGATCTTGTGTCCTCCATACCATGGTAGTTTAGACATGGAAAGCCAAATTCTAACCTTGGGGTAGTGAATGGGTAAAAAACAACAACAACAACAACAAAAAAAAAACCATAAAACAGTGAGGGCTAGAGGGGGACTTCCTTAAAATACCTAGTTTAAACAGTATGTTTGCACTCAAGCACTTTATAAGTTCATGATCCTGGTAATCAGAAGGACACATGGATCCATGAAATTCATAGTATTTGAAAATCAACAGCAATATCTTGTAAAAGAAGAAACAGGTCAGGTTATCTTACTCAGGTTTATCCAAACACTTGGCAGTAAACCTGCCTTCCTTCTAACCCAGCTACAGAAGATAACCCCGACAATCCTACCAGAGATTTTGGTCCCTTGACCTTTAGCAGGAGGTTGGGTTCCACTGGCGTGAAGAGGCTTTCTCCTGTGAGATATACCTTATATTATTATTTTATACTCAAGAGAGAGGCTTTTGTTACCTAACCTTTGCAAATACATGTTGAATCCAGAGAATTTTTCCTGGGCAGTCCCTCTTTTGCTAGTCTCACATAAGCTGTATTGTTTTGTTTTCTGTTTTGGGGAGGTTGTGATAGGAATCCTACAGGCCTGAAAAGGCTTAGATCTAGTACTAAAATGCACGTACGCTATAGATCTTTATTTGGTGCTAGTGTCATATCTTCTGTACCCTGTAGGTATGCTTTATTTCATATACCTTTGGGAAATACTCAACTAGAAACACTTGAGAAAAGACCATAAGGCATGTAGCCAGAAAGTCAGCTGACCTTTCATTTCACTGGCATTAAAAAGCTTTTATGGGGGTTTGCATTATTTTCCCCAAAAGCATTTGTTGTTTGAGTTGGTCATTTTGACAGTTAATTGTCAGTTATGGCCTGCATTTCCAGTCTCACCTTCATTATTTCCGTATGGGTTTAGGTGCTTGGAGTATAAATCACAAGTGTTTCTCTTGAACACAGACGTTGATCCTCTGCCAGTGAATGGTTGAGAGAGGTGGGAATGACTTGATTTCGAGGTGTGATTTGAAAAGAGGTTGATCTAATGAACTGGAAAGTGTGGGACCTATTCTGGTTGTTTCCATTGCAAAGAGAGGTCTCTTCAGGCCACTGAAGAGGAAATGGATGGGAGGTTTGTTTTTGGTGCGCAACCGAGTATCTTTTTCTGACAAGTCAAGTTCACACCAGAGTTGGGCAAGGAAGGCGGAGTTGAAATTTAAATTTATACTGGTTGTCAGGAGAGAATCAATGGATTATATATATAGTGGAGTAAATGTCAGAGAGAGTGATGCAGAGCGGTCCTGGGTAGGGTGAGGAGAGCTCAGTCAGTATGCACATTACTTACCTACATAGCCAGGGGTTCAGATGATCCCCCAGCATTTTAAGGAAAATACCTTTCTCCTAGGTTTCACATCTTTTCTTTCTTTCTACTTTCTTTTTTCTCCCCTCTTTCTTACTTCCCTCTTATCATTGCCCAGAAGCCACTATTCCAGGAGTGGAAGTGGGAAAGACATAGAGAAAAGGGCAAAGGAGAGTGGAACAAAGAGCCAGCAATCCTTGCTGCACCAGAGGAAGTGATACTCCTGAGGGCAGCTGGGTTGAGACAGTGAGAATTTTAATAATAAAGATGATTTTGGACCAAACCCAGCCTCATGCAGGGCATAAAGAGAAAGAGTCAAAGGGAAGCCACACTCCTGGAAGCAAAGAGACGCTGGAGGAAAGAACAGGACTGCACATCTGCCTCCAGGCCAAGGAAGAAGCCACTTTCCCTATAGCAACATTAGACATCTCAGTGAAAACTAGAGCTGGTCTTAGGCCCTTTCTGAGAAAGCAGATTTTTCTGCGCAGTCTGAGTTTTCATCTGGTTGATAAGGTTTTTAAGTGGGGAGGAAAAGTTCAGTTCGGTTGTCAACATTATTCTCTCTCTCTCTCTCTCTTTTTTAAAAAGATTTTATTTATCTATTGACAGAGAGAGAGAGAGATCATAAGTAGGCAGAGAGGCAGGCGGAAGGGGTAAGCAGGCTCCCTACTGAGCAGAAAGCCAGGGCCAATCCCAGCCAAAGTCAGAGGCTTAACCCACTGAGCCACGCAGGCGCCCCAACACTCTCTCTTTTTTTTTTATCCCACCCACATAAATTCTCAATTTTAAAGATTACCGCCCCCCCATCCTCAAATGGATGGGGATTTATTAGTTAAGAGGTATCTTTAAGGGGCGCCTGGGTGGCTCAGTTGTTGGGCAGCTGCCTTCGGCTTGGGTCATGATCCCAGGGTCCTGGGATCAAGCCCCGCATCGGGCTCCCTGCTCCGTGGGAAGCCTGCTTCTCCCTCTCCCATTCCCCCTGCTTGTGTTCCCTCTCTCACTGTGTCTCTATCAAATAAATAAATAAAATCTTAAAAAAAAAAAAAAAGAGGTCTCTTTAAGCCCAGCCGAAATCTTACCACATTAAAAGGTCCTTGGCTCTATTTTTATATGTCCTGGGAATGTGACCTCCAATGGTAAGATGAGTAACCTGAAGAACAGAATTGACACCTTGGGTTCCTTTTTACATTTAATTACAGTTCTTAGCAAGTACTTGATTCCCCCCCCGCCCCGCCCCGGCCAAATTTATTTCAAGAATGTGCTTGTCCGAGACCTACGATGGCTGAGGTTTCTTAGGTACATCTTGTGACTCGAGTGCGAATGTTCATGGGATCTGGACAGATAGATCAGGAAGTGTCTTCGCTCGAGTACCTACTAGGTCTGGTTGAGTCTGTAGCAGGCATCTCGCAGCACCACGGTGTATTCTGGGTAGCTGCTCTGCAGTAATGCAGCCCTGTCTTCCTGGGCAGTGTTATTCCTGCTGCATAATTAGCAACTAGTGAGATCATAGTCTGGGGAGATTCTGGCATTACTGAGGCAAAGCAGGGAGGCTTCATAGCATCACGTGTGGCTCCGGCTCTGACAGCATTTCTGTCAGGCAGATTCATCTTCTTGGGAACTTAAGTTCAAAGACGGAGAAGGAGAAAGCTTTGTCCCTGGGAAATGGACCATCCTGGACTCTGTGTGTGTGTGACGTGTCAAAAACCCTGCCTACCATCTTGACGACACCAGAGCCAACTGTCACTCTTTTGCTATTTGTTTTTCCTGTGCCAGCTTCTTTACAGAGGGCTAAGATGGTAAAGCTAAGTTTTCCTCGCACAGGGGATGGTGGTTGGCCAGCTGGGCCCTATTTTATGGAGATGTATGAAATTGAAAAAGAGTTGGGCTTTTGAAGGCAGTGCCGATTCTAATCTTCAGTGCATTCTTCAGAACGGAATTTGACCTTTCTAGCAGCCTGATGAGAAACTTCACCCTTGTGAAGATCTGGGTGTAAGTGTTTTCCTGGGCTTCTGATAAACTCTGAACTCCAGAGCCTAGAGCAGGATTTCCCAAAGTGTGTTCCAAGAATCACTTGCCCACCCCCCCGTGAGACACTCTGGAAACAGAGGGTTCCATGACCAGGTGTGGGGACCCTGCGCTATGTTTGCTCTCACCCTTCACCACGCTCGTTAGCATAGTAAAAGCCTCCAAGCTGTCCTGTCATGAGCACTCTTCTAAACTATTTGGACGCAGCGGTCCTATTTCCACGTAAAGCTATTAATATCCATGGAACTAGTTGATTTAATGTATACACTTTGGGAAAAGCCAGGCTAAATTTTCACTAGGAAAAATAATTGGATCTAGTCTGAATTTGGGCCCAGCCTAATTCTGCCTGGAATCTTCAGTCCCTCGTGCTGGCCCCTTGGAGAGCTCTCCTGAGTGCGCTCAGGAGCCGCTCCCGTTATTCCGGGGCTAATGAAACCCAGAGCCCAGCTGGCTTGGAACCAGAAGCCTTCACTCTGCTCAGAAAGGTGCCGCTGTTACTCATCTCATTATTTTAGAGTGACTGAGACTGGAGGGGCTGAAGGGAAATAAAAGTAGGAAAACGTCGGCCAGAATAAGTAGAGAAATGACCTTGTCTCGAAAGACCAGACATCCGCGCTAGCTCAGGGACTTACTTTCTTCATTTGGAGAGCTGTGTGTATAGACTTGGGAGGGGTCCGGCTCAGAAAAGGAATGCTGATTCCTCTTTTCCCCTGGGCAGAATCCTAATGCGCCTGACTAACCGGTGGTGAGCAGGGCCTTTGGGGCCAACGTGGTGGGCTCCCCAAGGAAACCCCTTTGAAACCAATGGATGCATTCACGGGCTCGAGTCTCAAGAGGAAGTTTGATGATGTGGATGTGGGCTCATCGGTTTCCAACTCAGATGATGAGATCTCCAGCAGTGACAGTGCTGACAGCTGTGACAGCCTCAATCCTCCTACAGCTGCCAGCTTCACACGTGAGTGAGCCCCTCCACCCCCGGTCTCCACCCACGTCCTCTGAGCATCAGAGCCCACTGCAGTCCTTGAGACAGCTTCTTCTATCTGGCAGGAGGCTTTTCCCCGAATCATGGTCTTTTCCATTCTTAGCCCAACCTTACTCTTCGGAGGACTTTATTGCTCTAATATCGTAGACTTAGGTCTAACTTATTCTAGCTGATTTTTCCTATGCTGTGGTTTATAGGTCCCCAGAATGGGCAGAATTAAATTGAAGAAGTAGTCCAGGATTCTACCCTTAACTGACCAGAGTCCCACACAGTTGTAGCTCTAGAAGGACATACATGGACAACTGGGGCAGCTCCGGATTTCCCAATTCTCATGGCTCCATTAATTTCTTGGAAAGAACTTCTGATTCTATAGATCAGAGGTTACCTATGGACCAGATCTGACCCTCTGCCCATTTTTTTTTTTTTAAGGATTTTATTTATTTATTTGACAGACAGAGATCACATAGGCAGAGAGGCAGGCAGAGAGAGAGAGGGGTAAGCAGGCTCCCTGCTGAGCAGAGAGCCCGATGTGGAGCTCGATCCCAGGACCCTGGGATCATGACCCGAGCTGAAGGCAGAGGCTTAACCCACTGAGCCACCCAGGTGCCCCGGCCCATTTTTGTAAATAAAGTTTTATTGGCACACAGCCACACACATTGTAATTGCTTTCATGTCACAGTGGCAGAGTCGAGTAGCTGTAGCAGAGACCTTATGGTATTTACTGTCCGGCCCCTTAAAGAAGTAGTACACCATCCCCAGCTCTAGATAACACTGTCCAATAGAATTTTCTGTTATGATACAAGTGTTCTATATCTGTAATGCCCAGTATGGTAGCCATTAGCCATATGTAGCTCTGAGCACTTGAAATGTGATTAGTGTAACTGAGGAGCTGAATTTAAGTTTTTGGGGTTTTTTTTGTTTTTTTTTTTTAATTACTACTTTCAGTTGCCACGTGTGGCTGGTAGTTGTCGCATTGGACAGTGAAGCCGTATAGATTGTTAGAGCCTGAAAAGATTACCTAGAGATCCTCTTCCCAGCTAATGTCCAAAATTAGCTCTTGGGGTCAGCCTGGAGGCAGTGGTATAGACCAGCCGATGTTCAGGGTCCCTCCCAACCGTGCATTTATGACGGGAAGATTAGAAGTGTCTCAAGGCACAGAGAGCACTTTGGACAATAACTGAGCACCTAGGCTGATGAGAAAGAATGAGGGCCCCAGGCAGGCCATTTTGGGGTTGGTAAAACTGCTCTGTGCTCCCTTCTCAGCCACATCCATCCTCAAGCGACAGAAGCAACTGCGGAGAAAGAATGTCCGCTTTGACCAGGTGACTGTATACTACTTTGCCCGGCGCCAGGGTTTCACCAGTGTGCCCAGCCAGGGAGGGAGCTCGCTGGGCATGGCCCAGCGCCATAACTCTGTGCGCAGCTACACGCTCTGTGAGTTTGCTCAGGAGCAGGAGGTGAACCATCGGGAGATTCTTCGTGAGCATCTGAAGGAGGAGAAACTCCATGCCAAGAAGATGAAGGTGCCTAAAGGGGTCTGGGATCCGGGGTCTGGTTACTTACCCATGTGCCAAGACAAACGTGGGAAACCATCTAGGTCTCTTAATTATTTAATTTGTCTATTGCCCTTGGCATGTAGAGATTCCAGATCTTTCTAGTGAGAAGTCTCAGATTTGGAACCAAATCTCAGTCTGTGACACCATTCTTTCTGTCTCTGGTGGGGAGTCTACACAAGATAGCAAAATAGCTTGCCTAGAATTCCCTACCCTTGCCCCCTCAGCAAATTTTTTTACAAGTTTAAGGTGCGAATACCTGAAAACATTCAAGTCTGCCACCCCGGGAGCCCGAGGAAGCACATTGTTTCACTTTCTTGTCAGATGACTCTATGTTGTCCCAGTGCACAGAACAGGCTTTCTCCAGTAGACCCTGCTGTTTCTGAAACCTCCGTCCCCTCTAGGTGATGGTCTTTTGGGTGTAAGCAACGGCACTACCACACAGCTATTTCATTTTGTACGGTACTGGGCCTGCCATTGGATGCCACACCCGCTCTTCGAGTTTAGGAAGAGAGCAGGGCTGGAAGAAGACCCATTTCGTACAGGATGGCTCTTTACAGCTGCCCAGTTGCTCTTGGCGCTGCTTGGCCCTCCACAGCCGTACTTTCCACCAGGCCGCAACAACTCCCCTCCCCCCACCCCCACCCCGAGTTCCTAGTTCCAAATTTGGAGAACACTGCTCTCCGCCTGGCCAAGTTTCTTGTGGGCCCAAAGCATGCGGACCTATATTCAAACAGGTGGCTGCATTATTTCCAGAGTTGTGGGTGAAATCCCAGAACATGGGGTGGTTGGAGAACTGAGGGCAGAGGATGTGGGCTAATGGCATCTCATTCCTGTCTCCCTCTGTCAGCGACGTCTCCTTCCCACAGCCCACTCCTGGAGCCTTCCACCTGTTTTTCTGACTGGAACGACATTGAGGCGTCCCTTTCTTGTGTCTGAGGAATTCCTTCACTGACCCTATCACCTTTCTGCTGCTATAGCAACAGCAGGGGAAATAAACACTGTTCTCACCATTTGCAGCGAAGGCTTTTCTTCCCTTTGCCTAGAAGAAACCTCTCTGCTAGATCTGGTCGAGGGATAACCTGGCAAAGCACGATTCCGTCCTGCTCTCTGGCCTCGCTTGCCGGAGGTCTAGGGACAAAGCCAGGCAACTTCGAGGCTGACGTAGGATTCCTACTTAGTAGCTGATTTAGTGAACAAGAGCACGCGTGTGGCAACTGATAAATCTTTCTGTGTCAAGAGAAAACCCTTACTTTGCCCTCCCCGGGTCCAGTTTTCTCTTTTCTTAGAAAATTTTCCTAACTTTAGTACTCTACAGGGGAGACTGTTAATCTAAAAAAATAGATCCTTCGCATCTCCCATGTGCCATCTAATACTTTCCTTTTTAGGCTGTTCGCTCCCCCACCCCCTACCCCCCAAAAAAGCTCCTGGTACTCTGGAGCTTTAATGATGTGTAATTGTTCTAATCCTTCCATTATTATTATTTTTTTTTTAATTCTGGCCTTTTACTAACATGGAAGTCATTATTTGGGGGAGTATGAATTGGAGATCCAGCTTTACTTAGTTTTCAGAAGAATATCCAGTTATCCCAATATCATTTAATGACCAGAGGACTCTCTCTCTCACTTGAGTTGAAATGCCACCTCTGTTGTGTTACATGAAACTCTTATATCTATATGTGGGTTTCTTCCTATTGCATCTCTAATCTCTCTCCCTGGAGAGGACAGCAGGAGGGAGGGTGCTTAGGAGGAGCCCATCCCCAGCAAAACAGACAAGGGGAGCAGTCCTAAGGTTGGCAGAAGGGCCCCTCACCATGGGTCTGCTTGGCACAGAAATAACAGACCAGGAAATGCCCAGAAGCACCTCTGTATTTGTCCCCCCTCCCCCACCTTCCCCCAAACAAACACAACAGGTGTGGAGCTGATTAGCCGGGTATGTTGCATCATCTGTCTCCCAGGAGTTGTTCCTTTACTAGCACTCATCTGTGGCTGGGTCTGATGAAATAAACCGGCCCCTCCAGGAGCTTGGCTCTCATCCTGCTGGTAGCTTTCAGAGCTCTGGGAATCATGCAGTCTCATTTTCTTTCCTTGAATTCTTGGGTGAGTTTTCAAAACTCACCCGGCCAGATTGTCTTCAGCCTGTCCTTCCACGAAGACTCCCTTTTCCTGGTTCCCTGTCTTTTCTCAGTCCAGAGAACCCAGATTTCTGTCTCTAGAGAGTACCCCAGTATTATATACACCTCCCTACTTCACCTACAGCTTTTCTTTGAAATCAAATAAAAAGGATTAGGAAGGAGAATGAGTGTATTCTAGGCTGTGGGTTGGAAGTGAGGGCTTGGATAGCCATTGAATTGGTCATTTTTTTCTCCTCCCAGTGAAATGGGGAGGCTTCAGGTTCCTTGATGAAGACCCGGTAGCCTTGTACTACACTTTAGTGTGCTCTTTGTGGTTTGGGGTCCTTGGGGGTGCAGACTGAAGGGTGTCTTGCAAGGTTGTCTAGATATCCGAGGAACATCCAGCCATTGGCAGACCTCCTCCCTGTCGTTAGAAGACAGGTTCGCTAAAGTTTTGGGACCCAGGGCTGGGGATGGAGGGTATATTTGTGGGAAAATACTATCTTCTAGGAGAGACAGTGAGACACAGGCTTTGAGAAACTTTGATCCAGAAAGGTGATAGCCTCTGTGTTGACAGGAAGGTGTTAGAGCTGCTGAAGGCTGCCTGCCTTCCTGCTCTCGATTTATTCTCTTAAACAATCCAGTATGGTGGTAGCGAGTAGCCACATGTGGCTATTTATACTCAATTAAAATGAAATAAAATTAAAAAGTTCCCCTTCTGCTTTGTGCTGGCCGCATCTACAGAGCTCAGTAGCTACATGTGCTACGAGCAGCATGGATATGCCCATCATCTCAGAAAGTTCCTTCGGGTTCTGTTGCTCTTAAGGCTAACCTTTCCTTCCTCCTGTCTCCCGGCAGCTGACCAAGAATGGGACAGTGGAGTCGGTGGAGGCTGATGGCCTGACCCTGGATGATGTCTCAGATGAAGATATCGATGTGGAAAATGTGGAGGTGGACGATTACTTCTTCCTGCAGCCTCTGCCCACCAAACGGCGACGGGCCTTGCTCAGGGCTTCAGGGGTGCACCGCATTGATGCTGAAGAGAAACAAGAACTTCGAGCCATCCGCCTGTCACGTGAAGAGTGTGGTTGTGACTGTCGCCTGTATTGTGACCCAGAAGCCTGTGCCTGTAGTCAGGCTGGGATTAAATGCCAGGTCAGTACAAGTTTGCCTGAGATGGCAGACCTAGAGTCTGGGGCAGGTGGTGTGGGGACCAGTGAACATGGGAGGCTGCCCATCGTCTGTGGGTGGATTCCCCACGACTGGGAACACTCCCTAGTTCCACAGCCCTCCTCCACCAAGGGAAAAAACCAAGCATGACGGGATTCCTAAGCTGGGGAGATAGCAATTATCTTTCCGTGTTTCTCACTTCAGAAGTGATAAGCATCAGCTGTCAGCAGATGGGGGAACATGGGTTAATAAATTTAATGTTAGTAGCTGTTCCTTAAATATTGACTGATTTCATGAGCTAAAAGGAAGCAGAGAGACGAGGTGGGCCTTCAGGTTTTATCTTGCAAACACTCACAGGACCTCTACTCCAGTTTTGTAAAACTCAAAATAATTCTTGGGTTCCTGTAATTCAGGATCAGACTTGGCCTGGCAGAGCTTAAGTCCAGTGTCCTAAAAGATGGAAGACATCATCCCCTAGCTGGCCTGACGGGACAGCTTAGAAGGCATATCTCCATTGAAAATAGCAGTACTGTCCCAAAGGATGAAATTTATTTGGAACTTGTATACTGAGGATGTGGGTGCTGAGTCCTTGTGATGAATGTATCCTAATGAACCTTTTCTTTCTTGTTTTTAGGTAGGTAATAGCTGTAGCAGATCTGGCCAAATACTGCTTTTCAGACTGAAGTCCCATAATGAATCAGTCTGTTACACAGTCCTGAGAATAGTCCTAAGAATTGGACTGCTCCTAAGAACTGGAATGGAGAGTTCTAGAAGTTGGTATCATAGGAAGACATTGTATATTTGTATATGTATATTTGCTCTTTTTTTTTTTTTTTTTTTTTTTTTAAATTTTTGGTATGTGTGGGCTTCTTTCCTTTTTGGGGTCCAAAAGGGAGATAAAGGAGGCAGAGAGGATCTCCTTTCCAGATATTTCTGGTCTGTAAGTTACATACCTTAGTAACTGCTCTGGACCTCATCTGGTCCACCATCAGAGAAAGATGAACCAGGTGGTAAAAAGCTGGCCATTGTTAATGTTCGAACTGTCATTATAGCACCCTAGCAAAACTAAGGCACTTTTGCTTAGTTTCCCTAGAATATATTGCTTTGGACCAGCTAGATCTTCCACTACCTTTCCTTGTCACTGCAGAAGTAGTAGGCTTGGGCCCCGACCTTTGTTTTCTCAATAAACTAGGTGAATTCTGGATAAGTCTCTGAGGCACAAAAATTTCTTCTACTGTGAGAACTGTCAGCATTCAGAGGTATCTTTGGACTTTTTAACTGGAAAGGCCCTTTAACATGATTTTTGGCTATATTTTATTTGGTAGAGGAAACAAAGCCCTAAAGACATAAAGACTTTTTTTTTTTTTTTTTTTTTTAAGATTTTTACCCATTTATTTGACAGAAAGACAGCAAGAGAGGGAATACAAGCAGGGGGAGTGGGAGAGGGAGAAGCAGACTTCCTGCTGAGCAGGGAGCCCAATGTGGGACTCAGTCCCGGGACTCCAGGATCATGACCTAAGCTGAAGGCAGACACTTAACGACTGAGCCACCCAAGCCCCTCCCCCCCCCTAAGATTTTATGTATTTGAGAAAGCACAAGAAGAGGGGAGAAGGGGAGCGAGAGGAATGAGAAGACTGCACTGAGCGCGGAGCCTGATGCAGGGCTCGATGCCACGACTCTGAGGTCATGGCCTGAGCCCAAACCCAAGAGTCGGATGCTTAAGTGACCAGGTGCCCCTGAGATAAAGGAACTTCCTGAGGGCACACTGCTACTTCATGGCTGTGCTGGAACTGAAACTACCTGACAGCTACCACGTAGTGCTCTGTTAGGTCACGCTGTGCGTTACATTTGTTCCTGGCGGTTCCTTTTTTAAGACCTCAAATCCCAGCTGCCTGTTTGCTGCCAGCTCATGTCTCCACTCTCCATCGTTAAGTCTGGTGGTCTCAACTTCCCTCAACCTTCTTGTCCTCTCCTCAGGTGGACCGCATGTCCTTCCCATGTGGCTGTTCGAGGGATGGCTGTGGGAACATGGCCGGGCGCATTGAATTTAATCCCATCCGGGTCCGGACTCATTACCTCCACACCATCATGAAGCTGGAGCTGGAGAACAAGCGGCAGGTGAGCCGCCCACCGGCCCCCGACGAGGAGCCCTCACCCACGGCCAGCTGCAGCCTGACGGGAGCCCAAGGCTCAGAGACACAGGACTTCCAGGAGTTCATTGCTGAGAACGAGACGGCAGTGATGCACCTACAGAGCGCAGAGGAACTCGAGCGGCTCAAGGCAGAGGAAGACGCCAGTGGCTCTAGTGCCAGCCTGGACTCCAGCATAGAGAGCCTGGGCGTGTGCATCCTGGAGGAGCCCCTGGCTGTTCCTGAAGAGCTGTGCCCGGGCCTGACGGCCCCCATTCTCATCCAGGCTCAGCTGCCCCCAGGCTCCTCCGTCCTGTGTTTTGCTGAGAACTCCGACCACCCCACTGCCTCAGCAGTGACCAGCCCATCCTACTTGAACAGCGGGCCCCTGGTGTATTATCAGGTGGAGCAGAGGCCAGTCCTGGGGCTGAAAGGAGAGCCCAACACGGAAGAAGTCCCACCCTCTTTCCCCAAGGAGAAGGATCTGAATGTCTTCTCCCTCCCTGTTACCTCACTGGTGGCTTGTAGCCCCACAGACCCAGCGGCCCTGTGTAAATCCGAAGTGGGGAAAACGTCCACTCTGGAAGCACTAGTTCCCGGAGATTGTAGCACTGAGGAGCCTGAGAATGAAGACTTCCGCCCCTCGTGGTCCCCCTCGAGCCTCCCCTTCCGCACGGACAATGAAGAGGGCTGTGTGGTGGAGAAAACCTCCCAGCCGAGTGAGGACAGGCCCCCGGAAGATTCTTCCCTAGAACTCCCTCTGGCAGTGTGACGCGGGGATGGAGAGTCCGCCTCTTACCCATTCTCTATTTATTCCCTTATTTTATCTAACACCATTTCAAAACAAAACTGTAGAAGCAGCTGCTACTCCCATGTTATTTTATTGGGGTCGGGGGGAGGGATGGGTGGTAAAGAATTGTTTGTAAAAGTATTTTTTAAAGGGTAAACGGAACCAAGGAGACCAGTCCCAGCTCAGTCTGGGGAGCGTCTTGGGGCAGAGGCGGCTGCACGGTGCCGTATACTGAGCCTTCTGGGCCCCTGGAACAAAGGAGGAGGATCTCCCAGGAGAAGCTGGGTAATTCAAGCAGCTATTCGTCACATAGGGACCAGAACACAGTGATTTGAATGGCATGACAAAGCCCCTTCTCCTTTCCCAAGCTCCAGGTGGGATACAAGCTCATTTTCTCATCAATCACCCTGATACCCCTTCTTGGGTGGTATCATCAGCCAGAGTATCTGGTCAGATCTAGAGTGGAGCAGATGGAAGGGTCTCTGTTCCTGTAGAAAACCTCCAGGATTTATAAAAATTTAACCTGCCTTCCCTGGCCCCCCATTTGGTAAATAAGTTAACATTTGACCTGTTTGGTGTTCTCTGACCTGTTCCCCACACTGGGGATACCTGGTCTGTAACTTGAATTATTTCTTTCATGTGTTCTTAGGTACTAAAGTTAAACCTGTCTATTTATCTTTCTTTCCCCCTCCGTCCTTTTCCCTTGAAGAAAAAGCTAGACTGGCTGGGGATGTGGCCTGAAGAGCCGGAGTCCCCTGCCTAAGGCCCGCTCTGTCAGGCACCTTTAGGCTGGGACTCACACGTCCATGGGAGGCATATATAGAACACTATGTCCAAAAGAGGCAGCGGGGACAGGGTGCTGTCTGGCAAGATGACTTTATTTGTGCCACGCTTGCTTTTTCACCCAGGTCTTTCCCCCACTCTGGGAGGTTTGAGCTTTAAAGGAACAGAGGATGTGGCAATCTAAAGTCACAGACTAGTTTTTGTTCTATTTTTCTGTATCTACCCTTGTGGTCCTTGGATATACAGGGTTGGAGAGTTCTTAAACTATTCCTGTCCACTCCCCCCACAACCCCAAGAACTGCAAATATTTATCAGATCCCTCCATCCTGATAAGTAAAATTCTTATTTTACAAACTAATTCTTAAATGCAGCTCCCAGGTTCCAAAGAATTCAAGTTCTATGACCTTTGAGATCTATTAAGTGGGACTCAAATTCAGCTCTTACCTCAATAGGGGGACACGGTTCCTGTTTATCTTAATGTCCAGCTTATGTTCCAGGATGACCACCGCAAAATTCTTTTTATTAGTAGTTATCTCTGTCTCCGTTTGGAGGCAGGAGGGAGCAGAATGCTCTTCTCTAGCACCCTTTACATCATGCTTCACTTCTGGTATGTTAAGTGGCAAAGAACAAGTGAAAACCTTTTTGATTTTGGTGGGGGAGAGAACTCTTCCCACTTACCTTGCTCACCCAGCCTTTTCCTGTGGGCCGTTAAAGCACCCTTTCTGTATGTCCCAGCAGCAGTTCGCCTATCCGATCTCTCACCTGAGCCTGCAAGGCCCTGTACTTAAAAGATGAACCCAGTCTGCCTCTCCTGTTCATTCCCGGTTTTGCTTGGTTTTACATTTGGAGGGGAGTTCTTAAGTACAGGACCTTGTCTTCCCCCATCCCCTAGCCTCACAAAACAGTCTTTTAAGTACCTGAGATCTAGACACTCCCAAGCTGAGCCCCACTCTCCCACCTTCAGCTGGCCACTTGAGTACAAGACTGAAGCTTCACTGCAAATTCGACTCTGGAAAAGAATTTTCCTGAAAGTTTGTGTTGTGCGGGGAGCAGTGCTAGACATTCCCTCCTTAGGAAGGGTCCAGCCTCACCTAGGAAGTGAATTCCAGCTGCTGAATAAGAGACACTTTAGCCTTTGGGATCAAACCAAGAATCTAAATCTAATTGTCAAACTGATGGCCAACCCCTAAGATAATTGGTTTTACTGAAAAACTAGTTTCTTCACCTGATCTTAGCCGAAAGGCCAAGAAACGATATCTGAAAAACTAATTTTTTCATCCAAGTCCATCCCTCCATTAACTCAACAATTCTGACTCATGCTGATCCCAAGTTTTTTAATGCTGAATATTAACATTGAGCATTAATCTTGTCAAGCAAAGGGCCTTTTCTACAACCTAGTCCATCTCATTTCTGGTGCTACCTGAGCTGGACAGAATTCTAGCTCTTGGTTGCTTGAAAAGCTAAGCCTAGGCCTCTGATCACAGGAGCAGATGGCCTTGGTTCTGCTCAGTCATGGCCTTGGTTCTGCTCAGTCTAGGCCTAGATAAAAGAAATCTCATTATTGCAACTCATTTTCCAGTTTCCTTTCTCACATCCTGTACACAGGTAGTATTTTCAATGTGAATCCAAAGCTTGTCTGGGTCTCTGAAAAGATTTTTTTTTCTTTTAGGTCCTTTACATTGTGATAATGCTGTATTTAAAGAGAATATTTAAATGTAATATTAAAGAAATATTCAAAAGAACAGTGTGTTATTCTTTATCTTGGCAGTCTTGTTAATTGTTAGAGAAAGGGTGTTTCTCTAGCATCATCTATAAAACTAATTAGGTCAGTTAGAGATTAATGTTAACAACATTATGGTGGAAAAATAGAACATTCTCTTTGGAGCATCAAGAGCTTGACTTGCATCCTATGCCTTTATGTACCTCTTCAGCTAAAGTAGGCCCTGATCTTGCCCTGCTGGAGCTTTCCCCTGCCTATAGTCCCTACTTTGGGGGCTCATTTGTTAATCCCAAATTCCCTCTTCCTTGGGACCATCTTAAAATCAAAGAGCACTGATGTCGAATCAGTTCCCTCAGAACTTCCATCCCACCAGAAGCTTCTATTCCAACCACCTCCCTCCCCCATTAGTTAGGTTTTGTCAGTCTTGTCAAAGGAGCTTTAGCAAAAAAATTAGAGTATGCATAAGTCATTTGCAGCAACTGGTTTCAGGCAGTCTTTACTTGGCTTTAAAACAGTGCTTCATGCATTTACAATAAGTTACACAGACAAAAGCTAAACCCGACTTACTCACAATGCAGGCCTCTCCTGGTCTCCCAGGCGGGGCAGTGCCTAGAACCTTCGAGGTTTAATTCATGGCCCAGGGAAGGGGCCACTGTCTGTTACAGCACAGTGGAGGCAGCAGAGCTGAAGATCCTTAGGGGCTGCCCCACAGCCCAGAAACAGATAAAGGGGCGGTGAACGGGCAAGAAGCACTTGCATTTCCTTTTATCTTTTCCATTAGTTCCCATATATGAATATCTATTTGCTTGGGGGGGAAAAAAAGTGTTCAAGTATTTGGAAAGGAAAGGGAGTGGTTAACCCAGTGCAGTGAGGGGACAAAAAAAAAAAGGCTATTTTTGGTCATCAGAAGAAGCATTGAGGGCAGCACAGAAGTACACGCATAGATGTAAATGCGCCGATTTCAACAGTGCCATTGCCCTCGCCAGCCAGAAACTGGAACGAAAACACAGCTGTAAGGAATACAGCAGTGGTCAAGCCCTCAGCCAAATGAAAGAGCTCACTTCCTAGGACCTGAACTTAAAATCTCACAAGGAAAGGCCAGGACAGAGGCCACTGGCAGCTCCGGCTGATTCTGAGGAAGTTGGGATGATGGCGCACTTGGGCCCCCTCTGGGAAGAGGGTTCCTTTCAGTTCCAGCTCCCACATGGGCACCACACGGGGAAGCCAGCGGTACCTACTCCTCTGCCTCCCACACGCCTAAGGGCGCACACAGCCCCCCTGCCGACCAGTGCTGTCTGGTACCACGCGGCTGTCCTCTGTGACTGCAGGACAAGGCCATCCGCTCCAGGTTCACTCAGCGCCCTGTCCCAGTGTAGTTGACAGAAAGCAGGACCACGTTGTGTAGTAAGAGGGACAGCTCAGCTTCTGCAAACACCATCAGTGTTAATAGCCTGGCCAGGGGACAGGTAGCCTTCTAACTGCCTTGGTGAACAGGGCTGGATACTAGAGGCGGGAAGCCGAGTGCAGAGGTGTGACTTCAAGAGGCTACTACTCTCAAAGTTCCCCGGCTTTGTTCCAGTCCCTGCATGTACGCTTTCCTTTCCTTCCACCAGTCACTCCTTTCTACTTAGCCTCATTTCTTGACTCTGAAGGGGTGGTGGTAGAAAATTCAGAGATGGTAATGCTACTAAACACCACTGTCACCCTTGGGATTCTTCTGGTAGAAGCTGGTGCTCTGGACATTTCTCGGCTCCAAGGAGATTAGTAGGCCTAGCCTGATATTCACAGGCTTAGAAAACATCAAGGCCTAGCCAAAGGTTCCACCAGAAGACACACAGGCCTAATACCCACCCTCGGGTACTCTGCATTTAGCCAGCTGAGTGTTTTTGTTCTGAATTTGAAGGCCTTTAGACTAGTGCTCCTCAACTGCGATGATTCTGTTCTCCTCTCCCCCTCTGGACATCTGGCAATGTTTGGAGACATTCTGGGTTGTCGGAACTGGTGTGGAGGATGCTGCTGGCATCTCATAGGTAGAGACCAGGGACAGTGCCAGAGATCCTCTAACAAATGGGACATTAGCGTCAATAGTGCTGGGCCTGAGAAACTGCTTCTGGCCGGCTCACGTGCTGTCTTGGGCTCCCACAGTCCTCACTACTCCCTCTTGTCTTGCATAGTCCACTTCATTACCTGCTTAGTCCCTGTAGGCAAATGAGTTTATGCCCTTTCATTTAGATATATACGTTAAATAAGGGTCCCACGGTACTCAATAATCAACTCCAAAATAATCTTAGAATCAAGGAGAAAAATACTTTGGATTTTAGTGGCATAACCACAGGGATGTGTCTCACCTTTCAGGCTGCAGGAAATCTGTAGCCACTCTCCCAGCCAAGCTCGACACCTCTCTTCAGCAATATGGGTAGAATTCAGGCCACGAAGATAGCAAGCCTGGATCACTCAGAAGAGGAATAGTCCTCAATAATCACATAGCAAATATGCCCGTGAACTGTAAACCCACAAATAATTCAAAATCTCCTTTAAATAAGTTATAACCTCGTGCCCACAAGAAACCTTTCTCCACGGCAATCTGAACTATGACACAGAGGACAAGCAAAGTGTATATAACAGAAAATGGTAGGTCTAAAGATCAGTGTCCTCGGGGGCACCCTGGAGGCTCAGGCAGGTAAGCATCTGCCTTTGCCTCAGGTCATGATCCCAGAGTCCTGGGATCTGCCTGCTGCTCCCCCAGCTTGTGCTGTCTCTCTCTCCCAAACAGATAAATAACATCTTTAAAAAAAAAAAAAAAAAAAGAATCGTGTCCTCAGTTTTTGAAGGGCCCAGGGAAAAGAAATATAGACTGAAATTACATGGGCAATTCCTTTTCCATGAGTTAAGTTCACTGAGAAAAAAGACACAGAAAGGAGGTGAAAGAATAAAGAGTTTGGCCTTTGTTCTAACAAGCAAAACAGGGAGCTCTCTGTAAGCTCCCAGCCCCATGAGCTCAGGAGCCCACCGAGGACTGAGGGTTGGTATCACAGAAAGTTCTTACCGATTTCACCTCCTGGGGAGTCAGCTGGCCAATCCCCAGCTTTGCCAAAGCTCTGTCCAGCTGGTGAATTACGATGGTATGAGTCTTTAAACGGTGTCTCAACAAGAAAGAAGGCAGGTAAGGCGTGAGAAGCATGGCTCTACTCAGGGCTTTCTGTAACACATCAACACAGGAGGAGAAAGTCAACACAGTTAGCACCACCCACACGACCTGAGGCAAGGTGAGGCTGCGGGACACAGAAAGCTTCAAAGTGCTCACCATTTGCAAAGCACGGAGTTGCTTCATGCCCAGAGGATGGTTAGAGAAACACTCTCTCAGAGCCAGGATGTCATGTACTGCTGGGTGGGTACCATGCTGTATCTTGGGAGAGGTGAGAGATTGGCAGAGGTTAGGAAGGTCCTGCCTGGCCCTTTTTCCTAGTTTTAGTGCAAACAGGATCTCACAAGAGTCAGAGTTTGCAGGAAGGGTTAGTTGGAGGAGTACCTTGGTGCACAGCTCTGTCATATGCCTCCGGAGTCCTGCGTCAGAAATAAGAGGGATAACCTTTTCTAAATAACAAAGGATTTCTGGGTGGGACCGCTTCCGGAGAGCATGATAGATATCTAAGAAATCAATCTGTTGCTTTGGGGTCCAGAAATGTTGGATGAGGAGCTGCCTAGGAAACAGGTACCTGAAAGGAAAAGGAATCACAATGTCACTTGCCACTGTCACAACAGGCCTCTTTCAAAGTGATCCAAGAAGGCGTTTAGCAGACATGAGCACTAGGAAGAAGAGATGGAGACATGACTTCCCTCCCTACCTCACTGCTCTTTTCTGTAAATGAATCTAAGCCCGAGGTTTAAAGATACACTGAATCACAATCTCAGGTGACATCACTGAGCTTATATGAAAGGAAGCGGTACTGGAACAGCCTCGCATGCAGCAATCAGATAAAACGGCTTCATTTGAACTACAGCATCTGAAGAACATATTTTGGATAGAGGTGGAGAGAGGTGCACAGAGAGCCGCTCCTTGCAGATGCTGACAACCTCGAACTGTGGCACAGTCCGTATGTGTATGTAAAACGTTCAAGGCAAATTTGTTTTTTAATTCATTTTTCCACATGTGTAGTGGTTTTAAAGCACAGCCGCAAATTCCTTGGCATTCCTCTTACTGAGAAGGTCTATGTCCCCCTACTTTTAAAATCTGGGTGACTGACTGAACCAATAAAACAGAGCGGAGTAAGTCTTTGTGACCTCCAAGGCTAGGTTATAAAAGGCCAAGCAGATTCTTATTTGCTGAAGCACTCACCCCTGGAGCCCTCAGCTGCCATTTTCTCTGAGGTCACCACATTAAAGAGGCCTGTAGGCATGCTACCTCAGAGCTCCCGCCTTCCAGCCTCCCTGCTAAGGTACCAGACATGAGTGACCTGAGAACATCCAGACTAGTCCCTTCATCAGCTAAATACTGGGGAGACTTCTGTCAACACCACATGGAAGAGAAAAATCAGTCATCCACCGGAACCCTGATTTCCTGACCCATAAGACCATGAAAAGCTACTAAGCTTCAGGGTTGTTATACAGCAACAGATAACTAAAATAACATGCAAGATCACAGTTTAAAGGTGTCATCTTTGGGGGCACCTGAGTGGCTTAGTTGGTCAAGTGTCCGACTTGTGTTTTCGGCTCAGGTCATGATCTCAGGGTTGTGGGATCAAGCCCCCTACTGGGTTCCATGCTCAGCACGGAGTCTGCTTGAGACTCCCTCTCTCCGCCCCCAACCCTGTGCTCACTCATTCCTGTCGTCTCTCTCTCAAAATAAATGAATAAATTTTTAAAAATAATAATAAAACTGGGACGCCTGGGTGGCTCAGTGGGTTAAGTGTCTGCCTTTGGCTCAGGTCATGAACTCAAAATCCTGGGATTGAGCCCAATGTCAGGCTCCCTGTTCAGCAGGGAGTCTGCCTCTTCCTCTCTATCTGCCTCTCTCCTAGCTCATGTTCTCTCTTGCTCTGTCAAATAAATAAATAAATAAATCCAATCTTTGAAATAAATAAATTAATTAAATAAAACAGTCATCTTTGAATACAAGGTAAAGTAACAAGGATTTATGTTACCAGAATATGAAATGCATTTCTCTCCTGGAAAAAAAAGATTCTCCCAAATTCCTATGCTTCTTAGGGAGTGGGCTGCTGATTCTAGGGATGATGGAAAAGGTCATAATATTATTTCACAACACACAGGGGTAGCTAAGAGACAGGCAAAGTCTAAGCTACCTACATCTATAGCTGATCCAGAAATCCAAGTGTTACAGAGTGGCTAATTAAAAGACTGGAGCAGGAAGTGTGATAATCTCTGCTACTTCTGAAATGGAAAGTTCTTTAAATAATTTTTAATTAAAAAAAAATCTGTTTCTTCAATATGCTGGGAAGATAGAAATCTATACTCACATGAGCAAGAAGACCAGGTAGTTGGCAAAGGGTGGAATGGAAATAATACCCAGGAAAAGACACTTGGTGACGTCTCGACGGAACTGAGCAGAAATAAAGACAGATGCAGTTTTAACCTAAGTAAGTTCTTAATACAATGAACAATCCCTCCCCCATACTGTGCAGTAAACTTCCACTGCAGCCCACAGAAGGATCAAGGTTATTTCTATCTAACTCTAGTTGGTAAGTTCCTTGAGGACAGAAGCCCTGATTTGGTTCATTTTGATATCCCAAGTCATGTCTAGTACGGGGCCTGACATTATAATAAATCCCTCAACAAAGTCTTCCTGATATGCCAAATGGGTCCTAGGTTCTCACTTCTAGCTTCCAAACTACCCATCACGTCACCACCAAATACTACTTTCCTGCCTTTTGGATCCCTGCAGATTTTTATATATTCAGAAATGAACTGGATTTTAGTATTTATAACTTTTATTCAGAAAGTCCTCCAGACTCTCTATGGAGCTCTATTTTAGAGGGCTACAACTCTGAATAAACCTAAGTCTCACAAATAACCTGATGCTCTCATTTAGTTCGATGCTTGATCTCACAATGGAGGGGAAAAGTTGATCAGGGGTGAACAAGACAGGAAAGAAAAATGCTTGAGCTCTTGGTTAACTTTAATAACCTCACCATGAACTTCTGGACATCTGCCCCTGGCCCATACCTGTCTCAAATGCTCCATCTCCCGGTATGGAAGTTGATGAAACTCTATGTTATGCTTCCACATATTTGTCTTTATTCTTCTAGCCTTTTTGGCATCAGCCCATAACATCTGCAATCCTGCCTCATTAAAGTAGAGAACAGAGTGTGATGTTATCCTAGTTTGAATCTTACCATAGCTTCCAACTCCATGTTTACCAACAACACACCTACTGGACACTACTCTAAATCAGAGCTCTAAACCAGGACACTTGAAACTCTTGTGAGGCCAAACTGTATCTCTCTTCTCATTCTTTATCCCCCTAGCATATCATCTCTCTTCCAGCCAACTTGGCCTTCTGTGATCTATTATGGAATGCTCTCCCTCTTCTGGTTCACTCTACTCATTCCCTCTTTAAAGTAAAACACGAAAGCTCCCTAACCTCAGGAAATCTTGCTCAATTAACCTTATGTAGTCCCCAACCAGATATTAACTTATCTCCTTCTAGAACACTTTCAGAAATACTGTAATTCAACATGTTTCTATGGTTGCAATTTTTTTGTTTATCTGATAATAATTCTTACATTTTACTTAAGGCTTTAGTTTTTAAAAATGCTTTCATATTTATGAATGAAATGATATAATGTCTAGGTTGGTTTCAAAATAATACAGGAGAAGGCAAGTGTATAAATTCAGTACATTGGTGGCCACGAGTTGCTAACTGTTGAAGTGAGGTTGAGTACATGAAAATTCATTATATTAATCTATTTTTGTGTATATTTAAAATTTTCCATAATTTAAAGTTTAAAACAGGGGCGCAGGGGTGGCTCAGTCAGTTAGGTGTTCTGCCTTTGGCTCAGGTCATGATCCCAGGGTACTGGGATCCAGCCCTGTATCTAGCTCCCTGCTCAGGGCAGTCGGCTTCTCCCTCTCCCTCTGCGTGTCCCCACCCCTCCACCGCCGCTCGAGCTCTCTCTCTAAAAAAATAAATAAAATCTTGAAAAAATAAAAGCTTAAAAAAATCCAAAAAAACCCAAAATGCTTTTCCAGGCCCTTTTCTCATTTAATCCTAGTTATAAACCTGGTAGCAGAAGACATAGCAGCCGTTCTATTTCTACTTTAGATTTTGCAGGTCCATGAAGCTAGTAATAATCTTGATAACATTCACAGCTGACAATATGGTAGTTTACTGTAATTGCAGTTATGATAAAAGTATAGAGTACAATAACATAGACACATTTATCGAGCACATACTACCATAAGTAATTTATTTATGTATTTATTTAATCTTCACAGCCATATGATCAATAGGTAGGTCCCATTATTTTCCATATTTTACAGATGAGAAAACGAAGGGACGAGGAGCTTAAATAACTAGCCCAGCCACACAGCCAGTGACCTATCATTATATAGGTAATAGTGACCTATCATTATATACTCTTCTAGTAACTAGCACAGCTCTGATCTGAACAAAAACATTTAGAAAATAAGTATATGTAGTGTTGTTTCCACGATATGCTATCTAGGACAGATCTGTGACAAGCATTAGACCACATTTTCTTATGCGCCAAGTCAACTGACATCACAGGGCAAGGTCTGTGAAGCCATAGATGCCTGTCCTTGTCCATGTCAAAGAATTCCTATAATAGTCGGCTATGTGCGGCTAAGAAAAATGCAACAATAACTATATTCCCCCTGGATGTTTTCTAGAAACAATCTTCAAAAGTGCTGAGAACGAATTTAATCCTCAAGCATATATGAAACAGAAAACACCCCAGCTCACACCACATAGCAGAACATGCAAGTCATCTTATTTATTTTAAAACTCTTTGACATTGCCCACGAACGGATTCAAGGGATTTCTATTTTGGTTTTACCTTTCATGAAGATTGTGTACATGACATAGAAGCGGGGAAAATGACGACCCAAGAAACGATGGTATTTCCCATTAATCACTTTTGTCTTGGCCACCACATAAGAGATCAAGCTCTTCACATCTGCCTTTGGTGAAAGGTGAAGCTTTGAAGACCTACAAGGGAGATCAAAGAGACTGGGAATCAGTCCTTTACACTAATGTAAAACACCAGTCTCAAAGGCTGTATGCTAAGACCTGAATCTTCGGAAATCCAAGGAAGATCTTGGGCATAAGGAGAGATAAGCAATCAGACTGAGAAAAACGTCGCGCGGACGAGAGGTCAAGCATTAAGGAATATCGGGTGTGGTAGGAGTCTGCAGGGAGCGCAAAGCCTGAGGGACCATTTGAACAGCGTGATAAGGCCAAAGAGATGGGATCGAGATAAGCCGTAAAACCTAAGCCGAAAAGGGAGGCTGACAGATGAGTTCAGGACACGTTGGGAATTCGGAAAATATGGGGCACTCAGAGTTGTGAGGGTCAGGAAGCTCTATCACTGGTGCGACCGGGATGCGAGTTCTGAGCAGAAGAATAAAAGCCCCGGGGCCAGGGCGTGGAACGCTGAGAATTAAGAGACCGCATGCAAACAAGGCTGACACTGGAAAGCCCTGTACGTCAGAAACGCTTTCCTTTCTCCCAGGTCCCTCACCGAGGGGCCCCCCAGGCCAGGCCACAGCGAACAAGTTGCAGCTTCCGGGTGACATGAGGTCCGGGGGTGACCGCCGAACCCCACAGAGCAGCCCGAGCCCAGCACACCCTGGAGAGCGCCATCTTCACAGGGAAGGAGGGGGAGAAACTTTCGGGTCAAAGTTCACCGTACGCCACGTTCGTTGGAGAACGCATGCGCCTTTCCTGAGTGCTGATTGGTACCCATAGACGGCCTGTCTGGCGCTCCTCAGGCGAGGAACCAACGCTAAGACTAAGTGGAGAAAGAAGGACCAGGATTGGACGCAGCCAGGACTTCCTGGTTTAAAGGCGCCGGAAACTGGCTCTCCCCGAGGCAGATAAGGACGTATGGTAGTGGTTGGGTTCGTGGTCTTGAGGACGTCCTCTCACTGAGAGCCTGCTGATCCCTCGCGATTCCCTAGGGCTTTCTGGCGCCGCCCTTGCCCTCTCTACGTACCCCGGGCTTCCGGGCCTAGAAGCGGTAGGTGCCGGGTGCCAGTGCCGCATTGCCTGGGGCCGCGGCGCCTCCTGGGGGCTGGGGAGACCTGCGGCTCCCTCTAGTGGTGGCGGCCGCAATAGGCCGGGAACTGTCCAGTGCCAGTGAGGTGGCCAGGGTTGGAGGCCTGGGAGCGGCCCCTGTGCACACTCAATAACTTTTTGCTTTAGACGCCGGTTTCCAAACTAGGTTTGTGGAGATATGCCCTTCCTTAAGCGCCTCCTGAAGACCAAGGTCGGGTTTCAAATGTCACCTTTCTGAGAGGCTTTCTCTGACCACCCTATTTAAAACAATGTCCATAATAAGGATACACCCCCCCCATCACCTTGTATAGCACTTACCACTTAACACTGTTTATACATTTGTTTCCTTCTCTGGCCCCCTCCCGGAACTAGACAGGGCAAGCACCTTCTTGCCTTGTTCACTGTTGTACCTTAGCCTTAATACTAGGTGTCATTCCTAGAATGTAGTAAGTGCTCAATAAATATTTGTTTTTTTAAAGTGGCCAAAACCCCAGCGTGGAGCCCAACACAGCGATTGAACTCACCACCCTGAAATCAAGACCTGAATCTTTTTTTTTTTTTAAAGATTTTATTTATTTGACAGAGCGAGATCACAAGTAGGCAGAGAGGCAGGCAGGGGGGTGGAGGGGAAGCAGGCTCCCTGCTGAGCAGAGAGCCCTATGCGGTGCTCAATCCCAGAACCCTGAGATTGACCTGAGCTGAAGGCGGAGGCTTAACCCAATGAGCCACCCAGGCACCCAAGACCTGAGTCTTGAGATCAAGAATCCTGGTCTTAACCAACTGAGCCATCCAGGAACCCCTAGGGGCTCAATAAATATTCTTGAATAAGTTAATTAATTACTGAAACCGGGAAGGAGTCTTAGAAGTGGCACTTAGCTGCCTCTGAGAGTTTACAACCTCAAGTACATAATACTTACCCTCCATAGAGTTGTAAAAAACATCCCACTTGGAAACAGGATCCAGCTTCAAATCTTAGCACTGCCATTTCCTTTAGTGTGTGTGATCTTGGACCTGTCACTCATAGCTCTGAGTTTATTTCCTCTGTAATAGTACTTACAAGAATTCTGTGAAGATCCAAGAAGAAAATGGTTATGAAAGATCCATATAATGCTTAATAGGCCAGGGAACTTTATACTAGCATGGGCTGTTTATGACTGTACCACTCATGAAGTCAGAGACTGTTCTGTAATGACGATCTCTACAAGTGTTGGGGAGATGAGGTGCGTGAGACAGGAAGTTGACTAAAACATGATCTGTCTTCAGGCAGTGTCTAAGTTCTCTCAACCGCTATGTACCTCAAGAATGTTCAGCTCTACAATTCTAGAACACTCCTGGAAAGAAGGGGACAAGATCAATCAGAGACAGTTTTGTGGAGGAAGTGGGAAGGTATTGTGTCTGGAAAGATGGAGTAGAGGGAAAGCATTTCATGCAGTATATCAATATGGCAGGATCACAGGAATTCCTTCCTTCCCTAAATATGTGTTTATTATATAGTGCCTCTCCTTCCAGGCCCCCTCACTGCAGCATACACCCAGTGAGTCTTGCTGGTTCTGTCTTCTACTTCTTTAGTCATCCAGTTTCCTCCTCTCTTCTGTGCCACCAGCTGCCTCTGATCTAGAAGACTGGATCAACTTCCTTACTGGTTTCTGTCATCTATAAAATAGAGGCCAAAGGCCTCTTTCCAACCAGTTTTCCATTCCAAAGCCAGAGAAAGCTTTGAAAATTGCAAATCTAAGCTTGTCACTCCCCTTTATAAAACCTTTCAGGTTTCCTCACTCTTAGGATAAAGTTCAGACTCCTTAACCCAACCTACAAAGCTTTGCATTATTGACCTCAGCCTATCTTCCCAGCCTCATCTCATATCTCATGGTATCCTTCCCTCCTTGGCTTTCTATGCTTTGAAACACTGGCCTTTCAGTTCTACTGTAGGCTAAGCAACTTTATGCTCTGGGCTTCTGCACGTGTTGCTCTTTGCTTAGAGTTTTTTTCTTTCTTTTGTTCTTTCTCTCTTTGAAGATTTTATTTGTTTACTTAAGAGAGAGAGTGATCGAGCTCAAGTAGGGGAGAGGCAGAGGGAGAGAATCTCAAGCAGACTCTATGCTGAGCAGAGAGTTTCATGTGGGGCTCCATCCTACGACCCTGGGATCATGACCTGAGCCAAAGGTAGACGCTTAACTGACTGACCCACCTGAGTACCCCTGCTTGGAGCTTCTCTCCTTTCTCTCAGCTTGTATTTCAGGTTCCAGCTGAAATGGCAATAATAGCTGGCATTTATTAAGCAGGGGCCATGTGCCAACATTGTTCTTAATGCTTTACGTGTGTTAAGTCATTTAAACTTCAGTATAACTTCATGAGGTGGGTACTATTGTTAGCTCCACTTTATAAATGAGGCAAGTGAGGTTAAGTAACCCACTCAAGATCTGAGTCAGTATTTGAACCCAGATAGACTGGGTACATGAATTACTGCTGCACTGTATATAAATAGCTCTGTTGGAGAAACTATTTTATAATCCCGCAGATTTAGGTTCCTCTATTACTCCTCTATCTTGTAGCTAGGTACACTTATCCTTAATAGTACTTAAAATGATCATAATTAATTAGTTTTGGCGTTATGTATTGAATGACTGTCTTCCCCACGGGATGCTAAGGTATCTAGTCCCTAGCACAGTGCCTGGCACACAAGAATTGCTCGTTAGATATTTGTTAAATGAACAAATGTATTATATATCTGAATATAAGGTATACTTTTCCTCTTAAAATAATTTTTCAGAAAGGAAGTTGCCTTGTAATTTGTGTTCTCACAAAGACTCTTGTTCTAGTACACGATGTCTGTTTTATGGATTTTCTTTTGAGTCAAAGGGTTTGGGGAAGATGATCCTGAAATAACCTCATTTAATGCTAGTTCTTTTTTTTTCCTTTTAAGATTTTATTTATTTACTTGAGAGAGAGAGAGAGAGAGATTGAGAGAATGAGTGGGAGGAGGGGCGGAGCTGAGAGCCCTACTCAGAACTCGTTCCCAGCACCCTGGGATCATCACCTCAGCTGAAGGCAGATGCCCAAACGACTGGAGCCACCCAGGGGCCCCAGCTGATGTTAGTTCCACAAGCTTTTAGCAATTGGAGATCACTGGATGGAATCACTTATAAACAAAAAAGAGGCAAAAAATTTTAACATAGATTTAAGGAATTATTCTTGGCTTAGGACTTTACAGTTTCAAGTGTTAGGTCTTATTGTGAGTAAGCCTTTTAGAAAGCCACAGGAAGAAGTTATACTGTGGATATCAGGAATATATATGCGGAGTATGAATTTAGAAATGAATTTAAGAAAAAAAACTGTCCTCAAAAAATTTGGATATATGTGAGGATGGTGTGAGCTGTAAATTGAGCTGAGTTGATCATCTGAGTTGATGTAAAAATGGCTTGAATGATGATAAAGTTTGAGTGAAAAGGGGCACTGGGTGGCTCAGTGGGTTGGGCCTCTGCCTTTGGCTTGGGTCATGATCTCAGGGTCCTGGGATTGAGCCCTGCATTGGCCTCTCTGCTCAGCGGGGAGCCTGCTTCCCCCCCCCCCCGACCCTGCCCCCACCTGCCTCTCTTCTCTTGAGATTTCTCTCTCTGTCAAATAAATAAATAAATTCTTAAAAAAAAAAAGTTGGAGTGAAAAAACGTTCTTTCTAAATAAATATTTTACGTGTGATTTTAAATATGTGTTGCTGAATAATATTAATATTTTCACTAAATTAATAACTACTTAAAGTAGACATTTGACTATTTCATATATATGAAGTTGACCAAAACCCATTTTTTTTTTTAGTTCTTCTCTTTGGGAAAACAAGGCACTGCCTTATATTTGGGCACATATGTTAAAATTTGCAATACATTTTATTAAGTGTTGTTTATTAGGTATTAACAGACACAAAGATGGGCTCATAGGAGCTTGGTATATAGAGAGAACAAGAAGAAAATTAGCTGAAACAAATGGTTGTGTACTAGGAATAGTTCATCTGTTCATTAATCTCACAATTACTGATCATCTCCCACAGGCCAGCCATTGTTCTTACTGCTCAGAATAAGTCATAGGTCAGACAGGTAAAGATTCCGGCCCTAGTATAGTTCATATTATAAAATGATCGAGAAATATGTTTGGAATACTAAAGTGAGGCTTCATTTCTAGGGGCCTCATGTGTGAAGACTAGAGGTTTGGATCTGAATGGAAAGGATTAGAGAGCCCTACTGCATTTTGCCCAAAGGAATGACAAGATGAAGATGATGTTTTATAAAAATTAGTCCGCAGTGGTGTCAGGGATGGATCAGAATGGGAAGGGACTGGAGATTAAGGATACCAAAAAGGTTATTATAAGGATCTGGACAAGAGAAAGTGAGGAACCACTAGAATACCCCAAAATGGTGACCACCTTTAAATGCTCCAGATTTGCAGTGTGAAAATGGGAATCAGATTTGAACTCCCAAGACCCATGCCATTTAGTTAGTCATCAGAATTTGGTGTTCATTTTACAAACATTTGAGGGTCTGCTACTCTACAGCAGTTCTGCTAGATTCTAGGAAAACAGGCAAATTAGAGGCAGAACTTTCTCTCAAA